TTTATCACCAGACTGAAATTTAAAATTGTGCCTGAATGAAAAAATTTTAAAAAAATTAAAAGCAATAATAAAATATGCTTAAAATAGAAAGTAAAAATATGCCTGAGACAAGTTATAAAAAATAAATACAAAATATTAAATATAATAAAGAGGTTTTATTTAACATAAAATTTATAATATTTTAAAATTAATTTTTATTACTTAAACACATAAAGTATAATAATTTAAAAATATTTTACTGGAACACAAAATGAACTAAGAATCCTGATCGTTGATCAGTTAAGATTAGTTTGATGGGCACACGTAACGGGAGTCGTGATCACCCTGAAGAAAGTTGGTGTACTAACGGTCAGTTGTTTAGCTTCTTCTGAGGACCGTAAATTTTCTCTAACGGGTAAACTCAATTATAAATACAAACATTGTAAAATTATAATAAAAATAATAAAACATATTATTTTCGCGTGTCGATTAAATTGTCTATTAATAATAAAACGATATATTATTTTATTAGCAGGCATGGAACTCTCTGCTAATAGTATATGTATCTTTTTACTATATAAAATCCAGATAATCGAAAACAAATATATCCAGGGAGGGTTTATATGTAGATTTATTTAAAGAATTTAAGAGAAATTAAATCAATATCAATAATTATATAGAATTAAATATATTTATTTATTTATGAAGCTCTGGAAGGGTCTATATATGTATGGCCAAATCTGCTAATAACAAACGTATATGCATCCAAAAGGCCAGGTGTATACAGAGTACACAGACATATATTAAGACTGAACTCAAAATCTTTAGAAATAAGAATATGCGTTCGATACTCAACAATAACGATTTACAAGATGCCGTCCCAGCATCCTTTTTAAAAAGTAAAAATAAAAATAAAAATATTAGTGATTAATTTTTAGAAACTAAATATTTTTAAATTATTTTTAAAAAATAACTTACAGAAATTATAAATTATAAATTTTTTATTTTGTATTTGTTTAATTTTATAAATTTATTAGACAAATCAATAAACTATAAGCACATAAATAAATTATAAATTATCTTTGGCAACCACAACTTTATTAATATAAAAATATGATTATTTATGTAAAGAATAAATATAGTTAATCGCATATAACAAAACTGTTAAGTTTATATATTATTGGTGAAGTGAGGATGCGAAAAAAGAGACTTGGATTGGAAGTTGGATTTGCATGAAAGGTTAACAAAGACGTATATTGAGTAGGCGTCCTTAATTCAATACCAATAACAACGTTGATTAATAGTAAGTCTCATGGTGAAGTCAACACGTACGACAGCTGTCTTAAGTATACGTGACGTATAGTACATGGACGTAAGATGATTCTCAGCCATCACAGCTTATTTTAATTACAAATTTAGAATAATGTTTTATATTATTAAGATAAATATGGAGAGAAATATGTGGTTTATTTTTTTTTTATATAAAGTTTAAAAATTATATATTAAAATATAGAAATATGAGGTTTAAAAATTGCTTTAGTGTAGGTGTTTATGAAAAACTAAAATATTATAAAATTTCAAAAATTGTTAACGGCTTTTTTTAAAATATTAAAAATTAAAATTTTACAATGGTCATTTTCAAAAAATATAAAAAATATAAAAATTTAAAATTGTCAATGAAAATTGTTCAAAAAATAAAAAAAATATTTTTAAAATACCAAAAATTAGCACTGATAATTTTTTTAATTTTTTCATATTTTATGATTTTTTCAAAAACTACATATTTTAGTTTTTCAAATTTTTTCTATGTAAAAAAGAGCCTAAATATGTTATGAGTTAAAATTGAATTTTGTTAATTTTAATCTTACAATTGAATATTTAAAAAAATGTATAATTCATAATAATTTTTTCACTGTAAAAAATATAATAATAGTTTTTAATAAAATTTATTACTTTTAACTATTTAAATTTAACCTAAAAATAACAATTTTCTCACATAATTATTTCATACTTTGTTGCAAGATTTCATATCTCACTGCGTGATATGTACTAATTCGAATGCAGCGAAAAGGACAAGTATTCATTAAATTTTATCAAATTAATAAACAGGGCAAATTAAATCAAATCAATTAAATTGTTAACTTAAAAAGGATAAAGTCAAGTAGTAAAATTTTATTGAAAGAATATTTATTGTATTTTTAAATAATTTAAATTTTTTACTTTTTTTACAAATTATTTAATTATTAAATAAAAAATATTTAATTTGTTTTATATTTTCTAACACAATAATAAATTAATATTTTTTATTTAATACAGGTAAAAATGTGAAATGGTTCAATTAAAGCTTGTTAGATAAATGAGTTTGGAGAGATTTAAAATCTCTAAACTTATTATGCTTTAATGTGTTACAAGTGTGGTATGAATCATATGTTGATATGTTAGTTTCTTTAAAAGTAACTAATAGTACTTTAGATTGGTAGAGGGACATAATGTGGGTCTGTAAACAAACTGATTGGTGGATAGATTATAATGTCATACGTGTACTTGACGATGATTGTTTTTTTAGTTTTTGAAAAGATAAATGAGTAGAAAATATTGCATTAGCAAATTTATACATAAGATTGTTTTCAGCAATGACAACAAAGAGGCGCGACTGGTGGATAACAGAAGATTTGAGATGGGTCAATGAGTGTAAAAAATTTCGTAGATAAAGCAATTATTTTCATGGGAGGAGGATTTACAACAGCAGTTGTGAGAAACTATGAAGGGTAAAAGGCCGAGAGAAGATGAGAATGACATGTTGATGTAGAAGTGTGATGATAATAAGAAATATAATGTGCAATTCGCTTATCACTAGATTTATTTCTTCACTCCAGGCAGCGGTTTGAAGCTAGGTATAGTGCATGTCTTATGCAAGATTTGGAAGGCCAGTGCATCGAAGAAGATACTGGTATTTATTTGGCGTTTATTGTTTAATGCAGTCTTGATGCAGAAGAAGTTAACCAAACGTAGATTGACAATTTCCTCATAAGCTCGTGGGTTGTGTGATACTGAAAATGAGGACATATTGCATCCTTTTTTGTATTGTGATGTCTCTATAAAACTATGGTATGTGGTGTTTGAATAGTTTGGTGTCAATTTATACTTACCTAAAAATTTGTACGAAACGTTACTAAGCATGTGTGGAATTTAATGTGAAAAAAAGAAATGAAAAAGAGTTATAATGGTATAATTTGTAGTAGTATGAACAATTTAACTTTAGCGAAATAATATTCTCTTCAATAATAGTATGTTATGCTAGTGAAATATTTGATTCTATTAAGTATCGTTCTTGAAAATAGTTTATAACAAGGTATTTCGTAAGATTGATTGTATATGTAAATTGGAGTAATGATCTTTTAACATGTATTGTAAATTTTCTTTAAAGTTGTAATGAGTTAGAGTATTCTTTATACTTTAAATTTATCCTTAATAAAATGTTGTAAAAAAAATTTTATTTAATAAATACTTTATAAAATAGGTGGAAGATTAATAAGAATATTATTAGAAGAATATATTAAAACTCTTGTAATTTTAAAACTTTAATATAATATAAGTATATTTTTATAGAAAAGTTTATTTATAGATATTTAAACTGAATTTTAAGAGTTAAAGTATATTTAGTTATGTAAATGAGTTTAACTTGAATAAACTTAAATTTTATTAATTTTCTTTTAAAGTTTATATTTATTGTAAGTGAATCAACTTAAATCAATCTCCCTTCCTTCTCATATATATATATATATATATATATTTGAGATTTATTTCGTCTAGTCAGTCTATTATTTACTGCGTTGGCTTTATTTGGGTTTGTTAATTTTTTAAAATTAAAATAAAATAAAAATGGTTAGTTTTGATTGGTTCAATTTTGTAGCTTTTAAAAACGAATCAACTTGTATACATTTTAAATAAGGGAGAAAAAGTAAAGTAATAAAAATAAATAAAATAAAAATTCTTACATGAAAAAAGCAAGATAGAGAGGATAGCTGTTTTTATCGTTTGCTACTATGCTAACGCAATAATGAGGTGTCCGACGGAGACGTTGAAGATTAAGCTAAAACTATGTCCAATTAGGAATGTTTATTGCAACTCTTGTTTATCTCCTGCTTATTTTTCCATTTAAATATTTATATTATCAATTTTATTAATAAAAATAAAAATAAAAATTTAAATAAAGATCACGATAAAGACACATCGTGTCTAATTTATTGCCCAGTAATTATCAATAGAAATTACAGTAGAAACGGCCCAACAACTATACAACTTAAAATAAATAAGAATCTGCAACTCCAATCTTTTAATTTATCATGTTCATAAAAAACAAATTCAATCAATTAATAATAAAAAGATATAACATGGGTTGATTTATATAATTAAAATTGAGGAAATCTTTTAATTTTTTTATTATATTTTAAATATAATAGATAAATTTTGAAATTTTTCGTACTATTCAATGAGTATGATGTAATTATGTAAAAGAGAGAGCTACATGTTTCAGCCAAACTCAATTGTTTAACTTACAAGATAAATCCTCACGTGTGAGAATGTGGTTGAGGTGTCCCGCGCAGACAAAGACCGTACGTGGAAGATTAAGCTAAAATTATGTTCTATTAAGGATATTGACTATTATTATTCTCGTATGTTTATTATTATTTTTATTTAAAACATCTTTATAATTAACATGATTGCGAGATAAAATTATTTAAATAAAATTGATATTAATTAGTCCATTATTATAATTAATTTTTAAACTTTTTTAAACTAGTGTATAAATTACATGTTAGAAAAAAGTATTTGTTATTAAAATTACAATATTTAAAAAATTTTATGCATTAAGTTTTTACATTTTATTATTTCTAATAAAAAATTCTATACATAAATTATTATTATTATTATTATATATCATTGAATATACATTAAAAAATACTTTTTATAAAACAGTATTCATGCATTTATTAGACCTAATATTTTTTTATAAAAATAATAAATATTATTTAATAAAAAATACTGTAATTCTTTAACATGAATTTAATGTTTTCCTTAATTAGCTAATCCCCAAACGATTATATATAGAAGCTATAATCATAATGGATTTGCACAACAAAGAGGAACTTCCTAGCTTGTACTAATAGCTACAGAGAGAGAAGTTCAACAAGCATTAATAACACCTAGTTCATCCTTGTACTTCTCTAGCCACACTCATGGAAGACACTTTCCTTTTGGCCACCCACAAGCGCAACCGTTCCGATGATGTGGACGCCGGCGAGGCAAAGAAACTCTTGCTGCACGGCAACGCCGACCCGGCGGCCGCGTTGGCGAGCGCGCGCCACGAGTTCGGCGAGCACGGCGGCGTCAACATGTCGATCGAGGCGTCGGCGACGTTCACGGTGATGGAGCCGGAGACGATGCGGCGCATGTTCGCCGGCGAGCTGGGTCCCGATCGCGACTTCTTCATCTACAGCCGCCACTTCAATCCAACGGTGCTGAACCTGAGTCGCCTCATGGCGGCGCTGGAAGGCACGGAGGCGGCGTACTGCACCGCGAGCGGCATGTCGGCGATCGCCTCCGTGCTGCTGCAGCTGGGCAGCCACGGAGGACACGTGGTGGCTTCTAGAACACTCTACGGTGGGACCCACGCTCTCCTCTCGCACTTTCTTCCGCGCACGTGCAACATAACGACGAGTTTCGTGGATGTTGGGGATCTGAAGATGGTGGATGAAGCGATTGTGGAAGGGAAGACAAAGGTGCTCTACTTTGAGTCGGTTTCGAATCCGACTCTGACGGTGGCAGACATACCGGAGCTGAGTCGCCTGGCGCATCGGAAGGGAGTGACGGTTGTGGTCGACAACACGTTTGCTCCCATGCTGCTTTCGCCATCTCGTCTTGGCGCCGATGTTGTCGTTCACAGTATCTCAAAGTTCATCAGTGGTGGGGCCGACATCATCGCAGGTATCCTTGTCTTCTTTTACCTCTATCTCTTTCTTTTCCAAGTCTTCATTAAATTACTATTAATTATGTTTCATAAATTTTCTTAGACCAATAAATGTTTCAAATATTAAATATAGTTTATCAAATATTTTAAATTATGATAAAAGTATATGTTGAATATTATTTATGATTCTGCGATCTTAATTTTATATTCTAAATATTTTTTTTAATATTAATTTTAAATATAAAAACTAAAAACAATATTTTATTAAATATTATAATGTTTAATATTATTAATGTATTAAATTTTATAATACTGTATGATCTTGAATAAAATTTTATATCCAAATGACATGTTTAAAATTTTTGATAAAATATTTTGTAATATATTTTTATTATTAAAAAATTCAAAATAAATATTAAAAGTCAATGTTCGAAAAAGGATAAAATAATTAAGAAAGAATACTTTTATTTATTTTTAAACTGGACACGAATTCAAAGACGACAACTCTTTTTCAAGTGTTTATCATTGTATGATGTCTATCGTCTTCCCGTGTTGTAGCACCAGTAACAAATAATACATTAATAATCACCTAGAGAAGATTTTTTTTTTACAACATGATGTCAGATGAGGTGTGTACACTTCTTAGTTGGACGAGTTAAAAAAATTTAATTAATATTTATTTGAGTTAAAATGATTAAAATATTGATTATTTAAATTTAAAATTAATTTAATAATATAAAATATAATTTGAATTAATTTAGTTTATTTATTAAATTTTAATATTATACGTTATAAAAATATAGTATTAACAATATGAAACAAATTAAAGTATATTTTGTGCTATATAATTTATAATAAATAATAATATAATAATACCATATTATATAAAATGTTAGCCACTAGTAATATATTTATTTTAAAATTGAGTAAAGTTAATTTTAAATTGTTAAATATAATTTAAATATATGTTTTAATTAATTTTAATTTTAAATATTTTCTAAATAATTTTTAAATTTAAAATTCGTATGATTAATATACAAATATTAAGCCAATATACATTTTAAAAAATATAAAATATTGAACAAGGTTGAGATGAATTAAGATAAATTAGGCTGTCTAATCTTTAAAGGATGAAATGAGTTTTGAGCACACTTACTTTTATATAATAAAATAGTTTCGTTGAAGAGATATAAAAAGAAATGACCTTAATTAGTTGTAATACTGGTTTCTTATATTTTGTTTTAAATAATTAAAAATTATACTAATTTTATGTTTATAATTTTAATTTTTAAATACAAATTATTAAATATTTTTAAGATAACAAGTGTATATTTATTATTTAATACTTTTTATAAAATAATAGAAAAATTATTTAAAAAATCAAAAATTTATTGTTCTTGTATTTTTTTAATTCAAAATGATTATGTTTTGTTACTTTAATAATATAAAAGATTCAATTTTCTTAAAATGGAAAGAGATAAACGAGTAAAAATAGAAAATAGTAAATGTCGTGATTGATATGATAAAAAAAAAAAAGACAAAGTGTAAGAGAAAAAATATATAAAAATGAAAGTATAAAAAAAGTTAAAATGAACATAACCTTTCACCGACAATGACAACGCGACCTTGTGAAAATGATTTTTTAAAAACAAATATAGTAAAAGTGGAAAAAAGTTAAAATGAACGTAATTTCATGACTTTCTTTTCGGGTGGCCTTGGAAATAATTGTATTTGATTAGTTAAACGTGTTTTCGTTGACAGCAAATTGTGGTTGGCTAAATTTCTCTGTCTTTATATTTAAATCTATATATAATTAATTCATGAGTAAATTATATACCTATTTTTTGTTGTTGTTGAAGTGAGTAAGTTATATTTTTATCTTCACTTTCCCTTTTCTTCATTTTAAAAGTAATTTTTTCTCAAAAGATAAATATATAGTATATTTAAATTTATTTTAATGTAATTTTTTAATTCTTCATTTTTTTATCAATTTTGTGATTTTATAAGATAAAATAAAATTTCATATGTTTTTTTTTTATAGATACGTGGACAGACTAAAATTTTTACGGGGTGTTTAAGTTTAAAGTTGTATGCTAGTGACACTATTAGTCGTATAAAAAGATAAAATATCTTTTAAAGAAATATTCACAAACAATTAATACTTTTAATGTATTTATTTACATTCAATATGAAAATAATTAAAGTGTAATAAAAATAATAAAGTAAAGTATATAATAAAAAAATGGATTGCTAATTGCCATCGTTCAATAAAAATATACTTTTCAACTCATGTGAACGACAAGTGACTCCCACCGTATCGCGTCAACAATCGTCGTCTTTCTGATAAGATAATAAAGAAAATGAGTTGCTAATCCGTTCCCTTTCTTTTTAGGTGCTACACGTGTTACTTTACTTATTTCTGATAAGAAGATAAAAAAATATTTTGGATGATGTGACATTTCTCCCTTCAACTTAAAAAAAAATAATTTAAAATTAAGAGGATGAGAATGTTATTGTTAATGAGCTTTTAAAGATATTTATTAAGAAATATGTTATTAACATGCTTTTATTGTAATTTTCAATGTAATTATAGTGTAATTTTTAATCATTTTTCGCTTAATAGTAGTCTTAAAAAAAATCATGATTATAAGTGAGGGAACATGACAGGGGCTGTGTGCGGGCCTGCAAGGCTGGTGAATTCAATGATGGATCTCCAACAGGGGGCCATAATGTTGTTGGGTCCAACCATGAACGCGAAGGTGGCATTTGAACTATCGGAGAGAATCCCACACTTGGGGCTAAGGATGAAGGAACATAGCCACCGTGCTTTGGTGTTCGCAACAAGGCTTAAGCAATTGGGACTGAAGGTTATCTACCCTGGTCTTGAAGACCACCCACAACATGAGTTACTGAAATCCATGCACAACAAGGATTATGGGTATGGTGGGCTTTTCTGCATTGACATGGAAACGGAGGAGAGGGCTAACAGGTTGATGAACCACTTGCAGAACTATGGACAATTTGGTTTCATGGCTGTTAGCTTGGGCTACTATGAGACCCTCATGTCCTGTTCTGGCAGTAGCACCAGTAGTGAGTTGAATTCTGAGGAGAAGGACCTTGCTGGAATCTCACCTGGTCTTGTGAGGATGTCCATTGGGTACATTGGGACGTTGGAACAAAAGTGGAGCCAGCTGGAAAAGGCACTTACTAGACTTCAGGAATGTGGGCTCTCCAACAAGAACTGAATCTCATCACTTTTTCAATCGTATATACACTTATTGTGATGCTCCCTTGTGTGCATGCACGTATGTGTAGTTACTGTTTATTTGTCTTTAAGTGTAATATGTCAGTACTCAATATGGATGTACTGTACCCGTCTAATTTATGAATGAAGGACATTGTACAATGAGCTTTCAGATGGGTTATCTTTGTCCATAATTATTTGTAGTTATTTATCTTTATACTAACCTTGAGTTATCGGTTTTGTTCAAACATTGGCACCCAATAAATCCCTCGGCTAGACCTGATACCTTGAGTGTGTGTGTGTGTATTTAGAAAGAGATAAGAAGAGAAGGTACAGAAATAATAGAGGTGATAGAATGAGAAAAATAATATAAAAGATATATTAAATAATTTCTTATACTATTAAGATATTATAAGGTTCTCAGTTTAAACTTATCGAACACCCCAGTGCGTCCTTCTTGACTAGAGATATCTTAACCTTTCTTAAGGCCCAAATTCACCATGAAAAAATTGAAGCATTCTTTCATGAAGTTTTCTTCTAATTTCCAAGAAATCAGAAGGGACCATTTAAAGATAAAAAAATCATAAAGTTAAAAAATAAAAATTAAAAGGGGGAATCCAAATCAGATAGAAAACATCACAGATCTAGGATTCCTGATTGCGAGGTAAAACGGTCTGCTACCCCACTCACAGTTCAAATTTGGATGTCAATGTCAACCGTCAAAGACACCAAACTTCAATTTCAGTGGCATTTAAGTGTTTGCGTTCTTTTCCTTGCGCAAGGCCAATTGATGATTGCTTCCATTATAATTATAATTTATGGACAACTCAAATCACATGCTACTGGAATGGGATGTTCGATGAATGATAAATGTGACAAAATATAAAAAGTTTCAATTAATAATCATCGCATTATTTGGAATCGGATAAGCTAGGGAAACGTCATATATGCAAGCCGACAAATTTCTTTGTGATACACAACCATGAATGAATATTGAACCACAATCTGATTCTACAACTACTATACTACAAAGTAAAGGAAAAGTATATTTTCAAAAATATTAACTTTTGCTCATTTAACATTTATTTTAAACTCTTCTTTTATGTTAAACTAAGTAGTAAGTGTAATGATCATGTATTTTGTTTTAAAATAAATATATAACTTAATAACTAAAAATTTATAAATATGAATATTCAAAAATACATAAATATTTATAAAAAATTTAAAAGTTTATACAATATAATATAAAAATTATGAATGTAAAATTTATATAAGGTAATATGAGAAAATTAAATAATAATTTTAATTTCAAAATTTAAAATGAAATTAACAAAGAAACGTATAAAAAAATGCAAAAAAGAGAATGTAATTAATTGTAAATTAATGTTTATTTTTTAAATAGTATTGAGGTTGATAAATTTAATACCGTGATAGTGGGCAGATGGATTCGCACGACAATGACAGAAAAAAATAACGTGTGAATAGTTATATATCTGGAATTATTTTAATGTTACAATTTCAGCATTAACATGAAACTGAAATACAGGTTAAAACATGATATTAAAGAATACCATGGAGAATCTCATTAAAGAATAGTTTGGTAACACGGAAGAGCTGGACATGAACATGTGCATCCTCCGAGAGAGCAAGATATACTTGCGAGTGCCTCACCCAATTGGAGCATATCCAAAGCTATCATCTCCATTGTTTTTATATGTATATCATCCTCATCATCACTCAGTCATATATTATTATGATGATTGGCTGCGTATATGACTTAGTGATGTCCATGGGGACTCTTTAAAGCTAAATATTTCAACATAAGTAACTAGAAAGTCCGAATTATATCTCATAAATTAAAATAATTTAAAATTTTCTGAGTGTAAATTCATATTCATACATAATATATATATATATATATATATATATATATAATATGAAAAATATTAGAATAAAAATAATATTTGATATATTATCAATGTACAAAAATTTACACTATCATTTTATTTTCTAAATCTACTAACAATCAACTAGAAGTTCCAAATCCTATTACGGGAAAAGTTAGTGCGCTACTAGGGTTTTCAAGAAACCCATTCCCTTTCTTTCAAAAAGAGTCACAATCGGCGTTGGTCGATTTCTCTTCCCTAGCTGCTCAGCGAGGGACGTGAGGTTTTGGCAGGGAGTGGAGCTCCTGGAGTGCTCGTGAAGGAGGATCTTTGGCGCGTCTTCGTGTATTGTGTGGTTCTGTCGACATGAAGCGGAGAAACGGTCCACTGAAGAACTGGATCTTATGGACTAAAGCACCAAGAGAGGGAGATCTAGAGCATGCACAGGGATCTACGGTCTGGTGAAGTGAAAGCGACTGAAGTACTTTCTGATGCTAATCTTTCCAATTCTTATACTTATAAGGACAAAGTCCTTGAATCAAATAATATGGATTTAATTCTGAATGATGATGAAATTCTTAAATTAATTTTGTATGACACTAGACGGATTTACAAAAAAAAATTTAAACAATTACAGATGATTTTTGGAATTACAAATGAATTTACATGCCTATAATATCTTTATCGATAAATAATTACAAACAGATTTTACAATTCGTTTATAAGTCACAGACAAAATAACCCGTCTATAATTTATAGATGTAAAAATATTTCTTTAACTTAAATACTGAAAAATTCGTTTGTAATTTACAGATAAAAAAAGCCGTTTATAATATATAGACAAAAAAGTTGTTTGTAATTTACAGATAAAAAAATCTATCGTTAACTTAAAAACAAAAAAATTTGTTTGTAATTTATAGACAAAAATTCATCTTTAATTTAAAGACAGAAAAATCCATATGTAATTCATTTATGATATATTTTACTATTTTTGTTACTTTTTGTTTATATACATAGTTATTCCTACTTGTTCCTGATTATCAAAATTTCTAAACATAATAAAAACTACAAAATTAATTCAAAAATGATTTATAAAATGTAAAATTTAAATGTCATTGCAAATGAAGACATAAACATCCAAATAAATAATATTAAAAATAAAATACAAGTGCTCATCACGAATAATTCGTATGATCATCATCTGAAGGAGCATTGCCATCGATAGATGAGGAGTCGGAAAAGGAACGATGCATGAAGCTGAAAACTGATGGAATTAAAGCTGGTGGAGGAGAAGGAAGAGGTGTGGAGCTGCTTACTCTCATGAGCTCAAAATATGCATGCATCTGCATATGTTATTGCTCCATTTGCTGCTAGACCTCTCTTTGCATCCTTGATGCCACCTTTTTCTCTATCTTCTTCTCTATTTTCCTTGCTCACTTCTTCTTTCATGCACTTTCCTTTCTCTTCTACATCTCCTCATTTTACTTCTAGTATTCTTCATTGAGGGCATGGACCTGAGTGCGGACCATGTCCTTCACTTCCTCAAGTGCAAGAGAAGGGGCATCTCCAATGACAGATGCAGGGGACATGAAGCCTGCAAAGAGGTCCCTATGCCATAAATGTGACCTTTATAAAGGTCACCCACTGTCTGTGACCACATAGCATCCTCATCAACTGACTTTGAATCCTGAGAAGATGCATTCTCAAGCCTTTAAACATAGTCATTCTATAGTTCAGTTCAAATAATTAGATATTAATATGGAGAACTATTTAATAAATCACTAATATTAACATATATTATCAATAAGAATGACTTACATATTTGGCTTGAGATCGTGTATTAACTCATAGGTTTTTGTCTCCCCTGCGTAGTTGGCCTCTTTAATGACTTCTTCTGTAATTCCAATTAAATTACAATCTCAAATATGAAATTATAGAAGAGTAAAATAAATTTTCAAATCATATACTAAGTTCGTCTTAGTGCCAGCTAAAGTCGTAGAGCCACCAGTATGCAATGATTCCCCCTTATTTGATGCCCTGTTTGTCTTGTTCTTTACAAAAATATTTTTAAACTCATCCATACTCCAAAACTCCTGCAATGTATGAAATAAGTTGGGTGCTATCCAATCAGTAGTATAAGAGTCTTGACGGACCTATGTGTATATCTGTCTTAGTCGCTTTGCAGTGTGACTCTTCCAGGCCTTGAAAATCATCTTTTCATCCTGGGAGAAAATGGAGAAGTTGTTTTACATAAACACAATTTCATTAGAAGAGGTACAAGCAGCAATATATAATTACACTTAGTTAAAATTAATTAACTATTATTACCTTCCAATCTTTGAACCATTCTATCTTTGTATCCTTAGGCACCTTTGCAAAACTTGTGTAAGACGTATCAAACATCTTCTTAATGGTATCTGTGACTTGGTAGAGACCTTTCTGCGGCATCCAATTGAAAACACAATAAAATAAAATAATTATTATAACATTCACATTAAATACGCAATGTTAGGCATATTTTTAAGGAAACTTACCAAGTAGACCCATCCCATCTCAAAGTTTCTAACGATCTCGATGATGCCCAAGTCTGTGATGACTATTGCCCACTTATAGTTGGGACAGCAGTGGATCTCTCTCCTGTACCCTGTGTAGTAGGCAGTGCAGAGTGTGAAACTCGTACTAGAGGGGGAAGAGCAATATACCTAGAATTAAGCACCATGATAAATTGCTTCTGTCCCCTAGACTGGGAGGTCTGCACTATAGTTGGTGTGGAGGTCGAAGTGGGAGCGGTGGATGAAGGAGTGTTACCATGATTAAGACACTGAGCAGCAGCCTTCTTATCTTTACCTACCATATTTGAATTAAATACAATATATGTTTAGAGACGAATACCATAATCTTTATAAAATATGGTTAATAATTTTGATAACTCAAAATAAATAATCATAGAAACATAGTAAATTGACAAACCTACTTACTTAATTTACCTCGTTTACTTTGAAGACTACCTTCATCATCATTCGATGAAATGTCATTCATAAATCCTTCCTCCTTATCTTCACTCATGTTATCCATTGCATTATTTCTTAAAGCTTGGGTAAGAGGGTCAATTGTTTCAATTTCATTCAAAGGAGAAGATAAAATTGGAGGGACAACAATGTCTACTACGCGTGAAGGGATTGAGTAATCAATTTGATATGCATCTTCATCATCTACTTCATCACTTTCAATTTGACCCCTTGGTTTAGTTTTTATTACAATCCTCCAACTTTTATTATATTTTCTAGTGTAAGATAAAAAATATACTTGTCTTGCATTTTGTGCAATGATGAAGGGGTCAAAGCCTCTATATCTTTTGGTATGATTAATTTCAATTATATTGTAATAGTTATG